TGACATCCCGAATTTCCCTATTGATATAATCAACAGCCTCACAGATTTGAGTAATTTTATCATCATAGATGTACTCATTTCTTCTTTTCCAAATGGTCCAACAAATATAAATAGCAACCTGACTTTGAAGGTTTTGAAACTCATCATGAGCAGTAAACCAACCCAGTAAAACTGAATTGAGAAGCTCACAGTGGTTCCCAATTTTAAATAAGTTACCGAAGTGGGACCAAAGTTTTTTGCTGAAATCGCAAGAGACATAACAGTGATCCAAAGTATCATAATTGTTACAAAAGGGGCATTTAAAGGGGCCGTTAATGCCAAACCGATGTAAATTTTCTTGAAAAGGTTGAATTTTATTTATGACCTTCCACATGAAGAAAGAGATTTTGGTCGGAATATTTTTATTCCAAATGTGAGTTATAAGATTCTGAGGGGTTCTTTTAGGTCTTATTTCCTCATAGGCACTCTTAAAGGAGTAGGATCCTACGGGAGTAAGGGTCCAAACCAGAATGTCACTTTGTGTCGAATAGTGATGCTCAATATTCAGAATGCTATTAGAAATGTAATCAGGTAACCTAGAATGGATATCATGCATGAAAGAGGGATGAGAGTAAGCTTCCCTAATAGTAATATGAGGTTGTAGAGCCTCCTCATTCAAGTATTCCGTCAACCTGCCAAATTCAGACCAATTCGAGTCCCAGAAAGAAGCTTTCCCACTACAGACCACTAAAGATGTCAAATTATCAAAAATGTGAGTAACCTTAGCCAAACCTTTCCACATAATCGATTTCTCAGGGTTTTTGAGTTTAGAAAACCATAGTCCCCAATTCCCCTTTTGATGAGCGGCTTTCCACAAGCATTTTAGGTAAAAGCACTTTTGGATGGTAAAAATATCCCTGAAACCCAACCCGTTTTCATTAATCGGATAAGTAATTTTATTCCACTTCCTCCAGGTGCGTCTTTTTTCAAAATTAGGAGTATACCACAAAAATCTGGAACATTTTTGCTCGATAATATTCAAAACAGTTTTCGGGATAACCGCACTTGCCATATTTTGATGTGACACATCAAAATATTAATCCTTTGGCTTAAAATAGAACACTCGATAAGATCTTTCAAACGAGATAGAAAACGTCTTTAATGGGACAAAACAGAGCAAGATATGATCGGATCAAATTCTAAACGAGGTAACATAGTTGATCTCATATTGTTTTGTCCTAAGTAATAGAGCAAACCTTACGGGTGAACTATGGTTATATGCATGTGTTATATCTTAGAGAATTATTTGAAGACGTAAAACAGGCTAAGTATGAGTGTCTCCATACTTCAACTTAAATAGAGCACTTTTATCCAAATTTATCCTAAATTGATATTATCTCATGGTTTAGGATGAGATAAGTTTAATGGGATATCAGGCTGATAGGCAATCATCCCATATGATTTGAAACATTTTATAAGTCAAATATTCTAAGATAGTTGGACTTAGATGGTTCTAGCGTAAAAGTAATAACACTATGCAGGCTAAGATATATACCAGATTCCACCGAACTGATATTATCCGTGGATATTATCCGTCTAATCGGATCAAAGTATATTCATTAAATATCAATGAATATACTCGTTTTGTCCTAAACATACTTGATAAGATATGAACACGAGATTACAAATTTCGTTAGATGTATGTGGCAGAATAAGTATTGCAACTTACAAATGTGTGACGTGCACTTGTCGTGAGGTGTACTCAAAATAAATATCAATACAACAAATATACGTATTATATTGAAGTAAGGTTCGTATCCGCAGGAAAATGAATGCTTCTCTTTTTATAGAAATAAATAGTAACAAGGGGGGTTTTAGTTTGATTTGGTTTAATAAATTAAACACAAAGATGAACGAATTATGTGGTTAATTAATGAGAAAAAGAGTTGCTTTGCTTTTATCCACTTAATGAAATATTCGTGGATCCCGGTTATATCTTTAACTATCTTCCTCTCGAATACTCAATCGAGGAGTATATCCAGTTCATCGAGGGTAGTTATTAATAATGAGATGCGTTCATTAATAAAACTTACTATCGAGTCAATATAGAACAAGCGCCGTATATTAACTTGATAGTAGCAATAAACTTAAGATGAAAACGATTGAGATTGATAACCTTAACACAAGCGGTTTATTGGTTTAATCAATATAACTAATTCCCCTTGGCTTATTAACCATGAGAAGCATGCATTAACAATCCAAGTTTACCACCATTGAAAGAACCGAATTAATAACAAGCGTATTAACCGATTGATTCTAGTAATAATTAATATATGAAACAAAACTAGCTGATACTTTAAGTATTGCTCAAGATATTAAGAGTTATTACCATTTTTGGTCCCCGACTATTATGTCAATGACAATTTTGGTACTTGACTTCTAATTTTTCCATTTTTAGTCCCTGACTTTTGTGCTAGAGACACTTTCAGTCCTTGACTTCAAAGTTTTCCACATTTAGTCCCTGAGTATTGTCAAATTGACACTTTTAGTCCTCCAATTGTGATTTTGACACAATAAGTGGAGGATTAAAAATGTCACTATTATGTTAGTTGAAGGACCAAAAGTGTCACTTTTATGAAAGTTGAAGGACTAAATATGGATATTTTCAAAGACGGGTACCTAGAGTGTCTCTATGTAACGACCGTCCCCAAAACGGCCATTACGATACTAAAAAAATAAAAGAGACTCGATAAATCAAGCGGAATAAAGATACAAAGCCTCTATATGAGACTTTATTTCTTTTAAAACAAAATCAAACCTTACAACCATAACAAAAGACATCCAAAATAAAACATCCTTAAAACCGTTACACCTGATCAGGATTTTAAAACATTTAACAACCCTTTGAAGTACCAACGTACTGAAACAACAATATATCCAATAGCCCGATCTTCTCCGTTAACCCATCCAAAACCTTGTCACCGGCTCCATACATTCTCTCAGGCTTTTGTACTTCATTTATTACCTATACATGAGAACATAAGAGAATAGAATTCTCATAAGCAATAATGCTTAGTAAGTCACCATTTCATCCACTAAAAACATTTTGGGGAATCTTAGCTAATCATAAAGGGAAAAGGGGCATATATACCCTTATACTATTAGGGTGGGAACACATATATCCTTATACTAATTTTTAGAACAAAAAACTGATAAAGTTAAATTTGAGGTACAAATGCACCCTTCCTAACGTTTTAACATTCCTCCGTCATACACCGTCCTTATCTAACATCACTCTCAAATAAAACCCTTCTCAGCCCCTTTCTTGTTCGTTCGTTCTTTCCCAGCCCCTCTCTGAAACAACCGATGTCCACCATTCCCTAATTCTTCCCTAATTCTTCTTCCTACTCTAAAACTCTTCTATAATGTCTTATTCTTCTTCTTCGACTCTGTCCACAAGGTCTGTATAGCTTTTGAATTTTGAGATTGACTATGAAGGACAACACAAAAAATGCTTTTGTGGACAAACCGCCCCAAGATTCAAATCAGAAACTTTGAACAATCCTGGGCGACGTTTCTACGGTTGTCCAAATTATAGAGTAAGAATTATTTTCGTTTCAAATTTTTCTTGCTGGGATATTTATGGTTGAAGTTTTATTGGTTATATTTCATCCGTATTTAATCTGAAATGGAAAGTGAATATCTATTTAATTTGCAGGCTAGTGAATGTGGATATTTTGAATGGCATGATGAAGCTTTACCGGTTTGGCCAAAAGATTTGATAAATGAGATGAAGTTAGAAAGGAAAATGCTAGAAATGGAGAATAAAAGACTCAATTTATTGAGAGGGAAAATGCCAAATGACTTGGTAGATCAAGAAATACACCAAATGTGGAGGGAATTAGAAAATGTGAAGAAACACGCTATTGAAAAGGGGAGCTCATTGGCATATGAAGCAACAATGAAGAAGCAGAAAAAAATAGCATACATTTTTGCTATGATTAGTTGGCTAGTATTGATAATTGTCATAGTAATGAAATTGTGAGATGATTAAAGATGCTCTTGACTGCATTGGTATAATATTTGCAAGTAGTAGTTTATGATGTATGTCTCCACTTTTATGAGTATGTTGTAGTTGTCTATCAAGACTCCACTATCATAAGACTATTTTTAATTCTAGAACATGTTATTTAGATTGAGTGTGTTGTTTTTAGCTCATAGCAGTGTTTTTAATAAGCATGTCATTTTCAGCTTTATCACTTAAATGACTAGTGGCCAACATGCCTACAAATCTCAAGTTAGGATGAATTGATTATTGATGTACAGGGAGTGCTACATCACTTAAAAACTGTAATGTACTAACATAAAAAAGAAGCATGTCATTAATATCTTAGAAGAAAGATGCATGAAACAAGTGTAGATGGTTCCAACATCTTCACAAACATATGACCTTCTGCTACCCAATAAGAAATCAAGAACCACAAGATAAAAGTGCTTGATGAAAGCTGAAAATTCTACATTTTTATACAACAAAGTTATAGACAAAAACAGAAAATCTGATATAAAAAGTCTACAAGTTAATAAAAGTAAGTTGAAGTAATACATCAACTGTGAAAAAGTGAACATAGAGCCCAGAACTAGTGGCTAAAAAACAGCAGCTCTGAACATAATATATTGATCAAGTAGGCAATATAAAATGGATGATATTGCTCCATAATCATTCACAAGCACTTCCTACAATATGCTCTGCACCAGAATGCTCCATAATCATACAAAAAAGAGCTAATTCAGTTTTCCCCCTTTGTTCTAACTAAACAACATCAATGACTCACTAGTAGCAAAAATCATTACACTGGCTTCAGCATGGTAAGCACCCTAAAATGAAATAAATAACAAAAACAAAAGGATTTCCTGTTTCAGCCAGTAAGCAAAATACTACTACATACTACTTTAACTCTAAGTCTACAATTACATCTTCAGAGTATTCTTCAATTGTGTAGCCTTCTTGTCTCTCTGTTGTTGTAAATGTTTCTCAAGCACTGAAGGTCTTCCTCTGAATTGCATTCCTGGAGCCTGAAATGGTAATTTAGTAGGTGCCCTTACTTCTGTACCATTTCCAGACATCTTAATTTCCCTCAATTGGACCCCAGTTGATAGTTTGGCTTTTTTCCTCCGTATAGCCTTTTCATTAGGGATTGGAAACCTTGTAACCACATTAGGATCATCACAAATTGGGGTCTGCAAATGGAGAGAACCTGGTGATATGACAATTTCACCACGCATACCTGGCTGTATAAACAAAAGAAAGCTTATCAGACAATAATTTAATAAGTCATAAACATATTTACAAAATGATATAAAATACTCTTACATTAAGTGTCTGCATTCCAGTGTTAAGATCCACAAATACTCCAAATCCAGATGTTTGAGTGACATGTTTGGTAGATGTACTTTCTCTGGTAGGAATTAAAGTAGGTGTAACCTGAGGTGAAATTTTCTTACCAAGATTTGATGGTGTAGTAATACTAGCCTCAGTTTGAAATGAACCTAAAGGTGTTTGCTCCTACAAATTAAAACAGAAACATTTTGATTAAAAAATCAACTATATGTGATTGAATACATGCCATATAAATGTCAGGTATACCTGGTTTTTGTTTGGACATGTCTTACTATTATGACCAACACCAGAACACAAACTACAACTTAGCTTTCTTCCCTTTGTGGTCATTTTAGTTGAAGAAGCTGCAGGTGGCTCATTTTTCCCCCTCATTCTTTTCTTGCGTGGTCTTCCAGGCATCTTAACAAATGGTGGAGGGAGAATTGCAGGGAATTCTTCACAGTGCATGAACTTTCGTCCTGGGACAGGTTGTATTGGAAACTCATATGCTCTAAGGTAGGTATGTTTGTGATACCACTTCTCCAGTACATTTAATGGGTCTATCTTACTATGAAATAACGCACAACATGCATGCGGACAAGGGATGCCGGTTAATTCCCAGTACCTACAAGAGCACTGTCGTCTATCAAGTTTAACAATATGCTTATCATCCCCTTCTCCTATCTCATATCCTGCTTCTCCATTGAATATAACCCTACAACCACTTCCTATCTCTTTGTTATCAGCCAACATTTGCATTGCACTTGGGGCCCAATCATTGAACCAATTTCTTATGGCATCCTTGTTTTCTTTAATTCTTGTCATACACAACACTCTAATGTCTTCTAACATAGACACTATCGGTTTGTGCCTAGCTTCTATAATCCAAGAATTGAAGCTTTCAGTTGTGTTATTATCAACAATGTGTGACTTGCACCTACCACTGAAATATGCCCTACACCAAACCTGAGGATTATACCTCAATAAATCTTCAGCAGCACTTTTGGAAACCTTAAAAAATCACAAACAAAATTAAAACTTATTGTATGACAGAAAATAAACTTAACACACAAAATTAAGTATTGATATTACCTCACCAAGTTTAGATAAATTGTCCTTGAATTCCTCTTCAAATGTTGACCAGGCACAAATCCAGAATCTCTTTTTCAGCTCATCCCCATGCCACCTCTTACCCCAATTGGCCAAAATGTGTCGTGCACAAAATCTGTGCTCAGAATTAGGAAGCACCATTTTTGCTGCATCAATTAGACCCTGTAAAATGTATGAATTTCAATATCATGTTGTTTTTTTGTTTAAAATTTGAAGAATAACATTAAGAATAACAAAATACCTTTTGCATGTCAGATATGAGGGTGATCTTGGAACCATCACCCAAATGAAGTTCTTGAGCAAGCCAGAATAGAAACCATTTCCAATTGTCCTTATTTTCTTTCCCAACCACTGCCCAAGCTATAGGGTACATCTGATCATTACCATCCCTACCTACTGCTGCCAGAATTTGACCCTTAGTTAATCCTTTAAGAAAGCAACCATCTAAACCTATAATTGGTCTACATCCATGCATCCATCCTTTCTTCAACGCTTCAAAACAAATAAACATTCTCTTGAAAATCCTTTTTCCTTCACTCAAACCTTGTTTACACAACTCAATTTCTACCGTACTTCCTGGATTGCTTGTCTTTAATGTAGCTGCATAGGCTGTTAGGTATCCAAATTCCGCCTTAAAGCTTCCATCCAACTCCTCTCTGATCATTTTTTTTGCTCGTTTACACTTAGCTAAACTAACATTAATTTTGTAAGTTTCCTTGCACTCTTTCACCATATCTTTGGTCCTATAATTAGGATTAAGATATATTTTTTGTTTAAACTTTCTTGCTATGAAATTAGTTGAAGCACTTGGAAGTGTATAGTGTCTCCAACACCTATGTTCATTGACCAATGTTTTTATTGCCAACCCTGGGTTCCTTCCATCTCTCGAAATAAATATGTGAAAAGGGCAGTCCTCCTCGTTAACACATTTAACCCTGATTCTAGTTGGTTCATTAGGGTAAACTTTCAATTTTACACCTTGAGCCACTCCATATTCTGCAATTGCCTCTCTTGCGTGCTTAGCATTCGAAAATGTCATGCCTAACTGCCAATGTTTATCTCCCTCTTCGCGTATGACTTTTTCAAGCGGTGTATCACCATCAACATCCTCACAGTTTTCATCGTCACTTGAGTTACTATCAATCTCAGTCTCATCTTCATTCTCTTCTTCATCCTCAGTGACATAACCTCTTGGTCTAGTATAAGCATCTTCTACTTCTCTGGCACCTAAGTCTAAAAGGTTATCAATTTCTTCCCACTCTGTGGAAATAGGGCCCCCTCCTTCAGCATCAACATAGAGTTCACAATCCATGATTACAATAGTTTTTTACTCTATCATAAAAAACAAAAATATGACAAGAAATCAATTCACATAAATCAACATGAAATATAGCTCCTCCATAGACAAAGTTACTGTATACACACAAAGTGATATAGACAATATGTGGGATGAAATTGGGATGGATTCAAATCCCTCAAAGCCAGTTTGGGAGTTTAACTTTCAAATCAGTAAAGGACCTAAGAACTAAGGGTAGAGGAAAATGATATCTTTTCATTTAAGAGAAGTGATTAATTACCTGTGTTAGTTATTTAATGAGTTAGATATTATATACAGAGTATTCAGTACTCGTCATTATACTTTGTTCAGTTTTCTAGCTACTCTGTTCAGTTCAAGATATCAAATTACTTAGGTGAATACTTGGTGACTTTAGTGAATCAATGAGTCCATCGAGTGAGTAGCTCGGTCTTAAACAAACCGTAAGCCTTGTTGCTGTACAGAGGAACGATGGATAGGGATGAGATAGTTACTGTACATACCTTTCACTTGTTGATGAAGAGTCTGATAAACTCGTATTGCACTTTCGTCTTCCTCTTAAAAGGGTTTGAGCCGTTTATGCTACGAACACATCCGTCGTCTTCGTATGTGCGATGAAGGCAAAGGAGCGAAGAAATTTAGCGATAGAGAAGGCCCAAACAACTGATTAAAGATGATAGGTTAATGTTAGGTTAGCGGGAAAGTCTTGAAACGTTAGGAAGGGTGCATTTGTACCTCAATTTTAACATTATCAGTTTTTTGTTCTAAAAATTAGTGTAAGGGTATATGTGTTCCCACCCTAATAGTATAAGGGTATATATGTCCCTTTTCCCAATCATAAATAGATACCCATGCTTAATACACCACACATATACTATAATCACACATAAGCATTCAAGTATCAAACATCTAAAGATTTCATCATTCATCATTCTTTCTTATATTATTCCTTGACTTGATGGGCCTGTAGCTCGTGTCCTGGCCCCTCGCTAATGACCTCGGGTAGCTAGCCCTCAGCCATCAGAAGCAACCCCGGGACTCCCCGCGGAAGGAGATCCCGCTACGCTCAGCTCAGGTAATTACTTGGGGGCACGGCTACCTTGTAACATTACTTATCTCTCATTACTTTCATTATCATCATAACTTCCTTTCATTCTTGGTTCCATAGGAATCCAATCCAAAATCTAACATAGAACTTGAAATGCACATATCTCATGCCATACAATTCCAAGTATTCAAGCATATATATCATATTCACAATTAGCTAATATTCCCTACTTTATTTAGAACTATCATGTATAGGTGGTGGTGACTTACCTGTAGAAGCTGAACTCAGATTACTCAATTAAGTGCGCCACCTTGATAACGTCTCTCGGTAAGCTCCTTCTTAAATCTTTAGTTACATGTAATAATCTAATTAGAACATTCTATCCTTTCAGAAATTCCAACATTTACTAATACTATTCTACTGGAAGTTTCTTTAAACAAAATGATTTTTCTTTCTTAAGGATCTGTAAGGATAAAGTTTCGAAAGAATACTGGTTCTCATCATTTATTAATAAAGTCTACTTCGACTTAAACTCTAAATTTTGCTTTTACTAAAGAGTAAAAGGAAATCAATTTTCTGAAATAGGAAAACAATGAACAGAGTGAAATAGACTCCTGCTCCTTAAGCCTGCTACTAGTAACTTCAATACGTATGTATGAAATCCTTTTTCACCATATGAAATGAACTTTAAACTAGAAGGTAAAATCCTTTTTCACCATATGGATAAGAGCTTGCAGGATAGTAATTTGGCAACTGGGCAACTTAAACTCTTGACTTAAATTCAAAATCAGACATTAAAATATGACCCATACGGTAGAAAATTGAGTAGCTTAGTTATCTAATTCTTCTTCTTTCTTAACAGAGCGTCAAGCCATTCATATAAAAAAACAACGTAGCCAATTACTTCTCTTCCGTAAGAAACTGATGGTTTGGGTAAAGTTTAAAACAATTTGTACGATCTGACAATAACTCCTCAGCTAGATATTTTATGGAAGAAAAACTTGGGTTAAATTTCAAATCACTCACTATTAGACATCCCAGCCATCTAGTACGTAGTGAAACTCTCACAAATCAAAATCTCTTTAGGAAGAATCAAAATTAGAGGCATGAACAAGATAGACTTACCAGTCTAAAGCTGAAAACAGACGACAGGGCTGGATGCTTCGTCGGAAGGTTCAAAGAGGGGACACTTTTTGAAGACAAAAGCTTGTAGCTAAGGGAATAGTTACACGGTGAAATAGAATGGAGCCGCGGATAAGGGTTTCAGTCGGTGAATTTGAGTAAAAGTATATATATGTGTCTAGGGATTTTAGTTAAAAACTGATTCAGGTCAATATAATTAATTTGGACCTCTTAGTCTTCTAAGTAAATTGATTCGGGTCAATATATGTGTCTAGAAAAATGATATAATCTTTCTTAAAAATTTGATTGAACAATCTTTATTCTTTTGTTTTTGTATTATTATTTTTTTCCACTTAAAATTATTAGAGCTTATCGGTCAACAATATCTGCCACAACAACACATGATATAAATAATTTATCACATTATTCATA